CCCAGCCTGAGAGACCATGACCGCGGCCCAACCAGCCCGAGACAGCTCTCTAACAGTGTGGCGGCGGCACGAGCCGTCCATGAACAGGTGCCCCCAGATCTCATCGGTTGGAGGAATGGAGGGAGGAGCAGCAGCATCTGACGGGTCAGGCAGCAGCTCCGTATACCAGTCATAGACGACACCAGTACTCGTAGCAGGAGGAAGAGCGAGATCTCCTGGATGCCTCAGAGCCCCATGCAGGAATAACACTGCATCAACAGAGTCAGGGCCAGCTTGGCGGGCTTCCTCTTGAAACCATAAAGGAAGAACTTCATCGCGTTCCTGCTGATCAGCAGGGCATTCATAGAGACGGTGAAAAAGAGTGTCTCTAGCTACGTCGCAAAGCTGGCACCGATCAGGAACTCAAAAACTTGCAGACGCCACATCACCTGCAGTCCAACATGCCTTGGTCGCTAAGGCTCTAACCCAACCCTTAGTCTTAGCCCCAATCTTTTTGGACCCCAGGATATTCTTGGCAACGCCCCAACAAAGCCGAGCCCCCACACCGTACTCGTCTCCAGAGATCCTCTCCAGAGAGCGAAAGACAGCTTCCTTACAAAAAACCTTGATAAGCTTAGGGCTGGAGAGAGTGAGGGAGACTTCACGACCAAAGTCGTCGACGATGATGCAAAAATCAGGCATGGTCCACCCCGACCTGTAAAGGGCCATACTCAGAGCCGAGATAGGACCTCGGACCTTGGCCCAAGACCAGTTGTCAGAAGAGAACACCGCGTTCCACCCCTCACGCATTTCAGCCCACGAGAGCGACCAAGGGAAAGCGCTGGTTCTCAAAATCCAGATTTCTTTGTCCCAACGAATGATAGGAGCGCAGCTGCCCCTCCAAGTCGGATCTCCTTCGAGCAAGGAAAGCACGTGTAAGGACTTGCCCTGAGCTCTCGGCTTGATGCAGGACATAGCCATCCTGCGCATGCTAAACAGCTCAGAATCCGAGACCCCGCAGAGGTCCGAGCCGCACGCGTCTCCAGCCGGGGGACCCGCGGCAAAAACCCGAAGGGCCTTTCGGCCAAGGGCCTCACCAAGGCCTTGCAGACGCCGAGTTTTGCGCAAAGCAGCAGCAGCACGGGCTTTCATTTTAGCAGACCTGCCTTTCCCTGCTCGCACCGACCTACCAGCAGTGAAGTCCGAGCCGAGGTTGGTGACCCTCATGCAAGCTGCGCCAACCAAGCTGCCAAAGGACACCTCCAACCTGTGAGCAACCAAACTGCTGCTGCTAACCGTGCCAATCTTGTCCACGGCCAGCTTGCACTGCAGGGTGCGAGTGACAGCCGCATGCAGAGCACGAGCTCCACGACAAATAACACCAATGGCCTTCTTAGCTGAGCCCGTGGCATTCAAACTGAGGTCGTCTATGTACGCATCGAAGTAGCAACGTCCTGGTTCTCGCGGGGTACCATCGAAGGCCTCCATGGCAAACACTCTAATCAAACTCGCGGCAAAGGAACACCCCGCCACAATGCCCCTCTTAGGGAAGAAAGGGCCTTCAACAATACCCCCGAGAGCCATGTATCGTGCCGCAGAGTACGCCTGAACGGCCAGCCGCGAGAGGCACGCGGGGAACCTATGTTGAAGGCATTTCTGTCATAAGTACTCAAGATCAATGTGCTCATAGTACGTTTTTTTATATATATATATATATAAAGAAAAAAGAAAAGAAAAAAAAACGAGGCCGTCCAGCCCCTCGGAAGGCTCCAGCCGCCCAGTAGTCCCTCTTGAAGGACAGCTCCCACCTGAGAGCTTCACCTCTTCTACAGTGACCCCGCACGCGATACCAGCTAGGGAAGACACCGATCGGACGGAAGCCTCCTGAGGGCTTGTTAAGGAGGGCCAAAAGGACCCAAGCAATCTGGGGGGAGAGCCCCAGTGCCTTCCATAACCGCAAACCACAGAGCCATCGCCTGAAGCGCAATATCGGGGAGCAGAGCAAAGCGTCGGCAATGGAACCCGTCGGCACTCACAGCCGAGGCAGGCCTGTACTTCTTAGAAGCAGCACGGATCTCAGAAGGCTGAAGGAGAGGCGAGTGCGGCAAGATGCCGTTGCCGTCACCCTTGCAAAGGTCAGCAAGTCCACTGCCTTGCTGCCAGATGTCACTAAACTTACCCGCCTCCGCCTTGAGAAGACTCGCAGGATCCGCAACAATAATGCCGCATCGAGAATGGGTGGTGGTCGGAACCCAAGCGATAGGCTCTCTGATAGCCACCTGAGCGGCGTTCCCATCTTTTTCGAGCCCCTGGCGGAGCCAGTCGTTCCAGTCCTTCCTCGAGGCCTTAGCAGGCGCGCCTTAGCAGACTGAGCAACATCCGCCGTGTCGGAGATTAAACAATCGAGATCGGCATGGACCACGGGATCGCCGCTGTCCGTTCGAACGGCGCGGGCTAAGCTGGCGGCAGACGCGAAATAGTTGCTCCACTCGGAGTCTGCGGCAACCGTCACCGAGGCAGG